TGTATATCATGCAACAACTATTTGTTAAAGGAATCCCTTTTTGGCGTAAGCTTCTGGAAGAAAAAAATGGAATCTCTCTCTTTCTCTTTTCACTTATTGGGTGTCATTTGAGGGGTATTTTCAAGTGCAGTTGCAAATGGATTAAATTCTTTCTTCCTAATCAAACGGCATAGCCCCAGAACTACCACCATATTCAGGAATTGCCCACGAAATCACAAACAACGAACGTAAATAGATTCACATTTCTAATGCCCGTGACAAGTATTAAATCACATAAGAGTCGACTAGATGAATGAGGTGGGGTCATCAACCAATTACATCTGAAAACAATGCTTTGGGAGGTTTAAAAGGGCTATCCATGAGCCAAGATACCATATTCACTCGTTCAATAAGCCATTAGATAGCAGCCTAGTGGCTATAATTAAATGACATAGATCTCTAAAACTGATAATCGGATCGAGCTTGTCAAGCTTGTTTTTTTAATGGAGTCTAAAAAATTGTTCTAGTTTGGCTCGTTTAAAAAATAAGTCGAGCCCAAAACGAGTCGAATCTAAACTAAGTCAGAGTAGTTCGATTATGTTACACATAATCGAGCCAAGTTTTGCGAGTTTGAACCGAATGTTTTAGGCTCGATTTTTAAATGTGTCTAAAAAAATATTTAAGCTCGATTCGTTTAGAACACGAGCTGACCTCGAGTTAAGTTCTATCCGAGGTGAACCCGAGCCCAACTCGAATAGCTCGATTCAATTATCAGTAGTTGCTTCCAAATTAAAACCTGCCCCAAAATCCAAATCAATCCCCTTTGCAATAAGCATTTACATATAATTTACCCGAATAAAAGATAAGGGTTGCGTTAACCAACAACCAAAGCCAAAATACTTCCTATTGCCTCGGTGATTAAGGAGAGCATGGGGTGAAGAAATACAACAAAGAAAAAGGAGTCAAAGAAGATGGAGAGTGGGGAAAATACAATTGAGTAGACATACACAAACACATCCATACAAAACGTAGTAGCATTACTCATTACAATAAAACATAAAAAGAGTTTCAAATTCAAAGGGACAATCCTGACTCCTCATCCTCTTCAAGTGTAGAAGTGTAGATAAAGTAGAGGGACCATATCAAACCAAATATACCAATAATGATCCAAACAAGAGTGTTGTTGCTCAAACCAAAGGGAAGTCCAGTCCCTTCTGTGGACATTCTCTCATCCACTAGAGCCATGGCTGGGCTAGACATGCTTGCAGCGCACGCCGCCGCAATCAGTGAAGCACCCATGCCAATATTTGAGCCATTCTCTACCACTGCAGGCTTTTCCTCCATGGAACACCTCACTTTTCCCACCTTCTCCATTGCTGGTAACCCTGGAAATATATTTTAGATGAAACCATAGAAGAAGAATTCATGATCTACTTACTATACACAAGAAGATGGGTTTTTTTGCCCAAATTACTGTCTTTAATCCTTCTTCCTATCAAAGAGTGGTTTTAAATTTAGAGTTAACTATGTATATGGTTCTCAAATTATGATCCGTGTCAATTAAGTCTCTAAATTTTTTTGTATCAATTGAACATTTAAACTCTCTAATTGTGTCAATTAAGTCATTATGTTTGCTTCCGTCAGATTTTCTAACAGAAAATAGTGAAGTATGTCACTCGTGGGACAAATGATTGGAATAAACAACACATATGATTCTTAAACTATGACTCTTATGTCAATTAAACCCCTGAACTTTATTCTTTTGTCAACTGAATCCCGAAACTCTCTAATTTTGTCAATTGAACCATTTTGTCTTTTTCGTGCCATATAGTCACGTGAATAATGCATTTTAATGGAGGTAGACATAATGACTCAATTGACACAATTAGAGAGTTTAGACGCTTAATTGACACAAAAAAAAAAGTTTAGGGACTTAATTGATATAAATGTCATAGTTTGAGGATCATATATATAATTTAATCTTAAATTTATTATCAATTTACTCACAAACGTGAATTTACCCTACACTTTTTATTTTAAAAGTTTATTGAGAGTCAATTAAATCCACACTATTATATAAGCAGTTGAAGAAAGGGAAATAAATTAGAAATCACGTATTTAAGGGATAATGTCAAAAATTCTATAGGTTTATCTGTATCTTTAAGACTATGTCCATAGTTTATTTTCTTGACAATCTCTTTTATTCGTGTGTATACCTCAAAAAATCATCAGACATGTGTTGAATTATATTATGTATCTAAAATTTTGACTAATAAAACCATTTTTTCCAATTAACAAAAGATGTTCATTAATTTCATGTACTCAGGCAAGGTAGCAGCATAGTTCAACTCAAACTACAAGAATTAATACTATCATCAGCAATGAAAAGCCTTACCAAGAACCGACGGGGTAGGACGTAGTGCAGATCCCTTGGGCAAGAGAGCAGGACGTGAGACCGATGAGGTTGTAGTGCAAGCAGTAATGGTGGCCATTTGTAAATTGAAGAGAGAGAGATGATAAAATCTAGTGGAAAATGTTAACTAGAAGTTGCAGGCAGGAGGGTGAGTGTGTTTGATATACTTTCTGAGGAATATACAAATTAATATCTTCATTGTTTGCTCACTATATGTCTATTGCACCACACAACCTGGATAGATAGAGAGATTGCGCCTCATCTCTAAGACCCAACCAATTTTTTCCACGTGTCATATCATCCCTTAGTGGCTAGTATTGCTCCTTTGAGTCGGATTTTTTTTTGACAGATACAATTCATTTCTGGTTATCGTAATACCAGAGAGTATGTGACATATGCTATACGTGTTCAAATTATTGTTCTAAATTGTATCTAAACTATTCTTTTAGAAAAATCATTATTATTATTATTTAACAGTTAAGATATTCGGGCTAATTTACGCGCGTCTCAACTAATTCTTTTCCCGGTTCGGTCAAAGGCAAATCATCCACGCAGTGACTAAGATATTCATGAGAGATAAATCTTTCATAATCTATCTTCGAGAGGTTGTTAAGATTAAAACTTGAAACTTCTGAGTTTACGACTCGTTTCTATTTTCCCTTGGAGTTAACTACTAAAAATTAAAGGGTTAATAACATTTTTTATCCCTAAAATATATTTGTTTTGTCAGTTTAATTCTCATTATATTAATTTTGTCAATTTAATTCTCTTTGTATTAATTTAGTCTCTCAAATTTTAATTTGTATCACTTTGATCCTTAATCGCACAATTCGTTAAATTTTTTTTGACTGAAATAACCACGTGTCATTTTTTCAAATGGTACCACATGACTTTTGAGCATCTACCCTTTATCGGATGGAAGCAGACAGTATAAACAGGACTTGAAAAATCAATGCCAGCCTAAAATGAGAGTCATGCATTTGAAACTACTAGAACTCTAAAATGAGTTATGTACACAAGATGTATGAGCATTGGGACCTTATTTGGTTCCCTATTATTGTTAAACTTGACTCGGCTCCTAGATGACTATGGCCGAAAAAATTGGAAGATGTTATGAGTTGAGATTTACATGAAAAATTTGTGGACGAATGAGAAAGAATAACAAACCACGCATGGAGTTCCTCTCACATGAAGAATGTAATGTGTAGTAAGATGAGTCTACTCAGCCTTCTTGTGTTGCGGGATCTAACTAAGGACGGATGTTGCACTGTTGCAAGTCAGGGTGGTCGTAATTGATATGTTTCCTCCAGCAATGCCTGAACTTCTCAACCCCAGTATCCAACCATGGCTTCATGATTCCATCGTAGTGTATCACTGCAGCCTGCTCGATCTTACCCTTTCGAATAGAAGTCTCATACCCCAACCCAAGGAGATGCCATCTCCGGTCCAAAGCCACTGTCTGGTTGTAGAAGGTGACCCAACCCAGGGCCAGACTACCAGCTTTCCACAAGGGCCTCTTATTTCCCTGCATCGGCCCAAGTAAAACAAGCATCCATATTGTGAATTAGTGCTTAAAATTAAGTCAAGGCCAATAAACTTACAGCACAGGTTAAACTCTGCTTTTTTGGAGCAATACATAGAAATCAATGCCACATACATCACAATTACGACCACCCTGACTTGAACAAATATCAAATGGTGAAAAGAAGGAAACAAATATCAAATGCTGGACTTGAACTCTCACTGCAACACGTGCACAACCCAGATAAATCATCACTAAATGAAATTTATTAGAATCCCTCTCTCATGCGGAGCAGGTGACAACATGTAGAAGTTATATTTGCATCATATGGTGCAAGTGCCACCACTGAACTCCACTCAATTTACTAAAAATTTATTTTCCCAGGGAAAAAGCTTTTTATCATGCAAAACATGTACTGTAATAAGCCCATTAAATAGGTGTAAAATAACTATGGTGAAAAGATGTGTGCAAGAAAGTCATGGAGTTTTTTTTTTTTAAACTTAATTTTAAAGGGCAGATAAAGATAGGGCAAGGATTCCATACCAACTTCAGGTATTTGTGATAGACCCCAGTTAAATCTAGCCGCCTCCATTCTTTTAGATCAAACACATTCATCCCAAACGCCCATGTACATGCCTTCACATCAAACCTCCTTGCCACCACTGACTCTGAGAAGTTGATAAACATATCCATCCGACGGAATGAAGGCTCACCTTCCTGACAAGTCTGAACTGCTGCGTTCACTTTATTCCTCATGTCGACACTCCAAAGTCCAGTTAGATCCCTTTGCACTACCACATCATGGTCAAGGAGCACAATCTTATTAAGCAGGGGAAAAACATCTGGCAGATAGAACCGAAGGTGGTTCAGCTGAGAAGTGTATCTTGGATCAGGAGAGTTTTGCTTCTGCAGTGTCACATCATATTTGGTGGACAACCATTCAAAATTGTCTACGCTCTGTATCTGTATAGTGGCTTCCCCAGGGCGATTTAATAAGAACCACATTGTGATTGACGGGAGATTGAGGGAATCAGTCACTATATGGAAGACTATTCTTTCCGGTTCCTGCAAGCGCTCAAGCAAACATAATATTTACTTGTCAGTCAAAGCATCACCATAAAGCAACATCTGTATTTTCTATTCTAAACACACATATCTTAGATTCAATTGATCCATTAATTGAATAATGAATCACTTATGCTACTGGGATACTAGGATAAGAGGAACTCGGACAGCAAGAAGGTTGACAATCTCCTAAATTTATACCAATTCAATTTGCCTCCTAAAAGACCTCCAACTTCTTCACCAAAGAACTCCCAGTCAAATGCAGAAATGGGAAACTTTTTCTTGGGGGTATGACAAGATTGAAATTCACTGGCCATAAACACGGGAGACATGTCTCTATTTCAGGACCATAACCAATCAATGAGCAACAAAGACATCAGGAAATGGTTATAATGGTCCCACTTTGACAGTTATACATAATTCAGCAGAGCCCAGTCCAGACATCCATAACAGCCAAGTAGTTCTTTTGACCAACAACCTTCACACTCCCCTAAACATGTTTCCCTCTATCTGTGTGTAGCATAGGCCAAACTTCTTCAATGTCAACTCAACACATTTGGCTGTAGCTAGACAATATCATGAGGGCGCAGGCATCAGATTCATTAGAAGCAATCAAATTGTGAATTTAGCTTTTCAGTGTATTCATAATCCACCACACACTTCTCAATGTAAACTTTATAAAAGGTGGACAGTGTAAGTCTCCATCCTCCAAACCGGTGCTTGACATGACATGCAAATCCACTACCATTCAAAATAATCACAATTAAGTATTTATTGGCCCTATATATTGAAGATAACTCCTCAATCATATTCTCCTTAGGATACTCCAATTATACATCACTTAATGCAGTCAACTTTTACTAAGAACCTCAACAACTATGGCGAGAATTGACGGAAATGAATGTGTAAATATAAACTCTCCAAGACCTACCAAATAAAGCTCAGGCAGCTTACCATTGCAGTGGAAATAGTTGAGTTCACAACCACAGCACAAGCCAGAACATTGTCAGAAAATACAGCGAAGTGATAAAGATCTGGATCATGCAGTTTCTGTCTGTTAGGAAACACCCGCTCCTTTGGCTGCAGGGCAAAATATTCAGAAGTTAGCCGCATGGAGAGGCAGTGAAGGCCTTTTGGAGTAGTCCTTCCAGCAAGCTGAACAAGAAATGTCGCTTGATTCTTGTGTCTCAGGACCCGTTCTTCAGCATTGTAATTCATGGCCCTAAGTTTTTTTGTCATGGCAGGGCAGTCAGGGTAAATACGGCTGGCCTTTAACAAGGAGGCCTCCATGGCTCTCATCTTCTGCATAGCTCTGAAAATTTTACAGGTTTCCATATCAGGATTTAATTTATTTAACTCTTTAAGGGGGCAGCCAATGGTACTCAATTACCCATAATGTGCTTTAACCTGAGTACGAATTTTTCTTAATATCATGGAACTGAATGATCTCAATAGTTAACAACTTGGGTCCACTTAAAGTACCTGTCAGGCACACAAGAACTAGAGGCGTGCACATAAAAATGATAATCCAGTACACAAGGGGGAAAAGATCAATAGTATTGGTAAGCTAATTCTTAAAGATTGCAGCAATGGAGACCAATTAATATAGTAATCGGTCTGAATGCCCTAGCAAATGACTTCAAAAGAAATTGTGAAACGTGTTTCTTTCAAATTCTGTAATCCATTTCCATAAAATGGAGTCTTGCATAGCTGGCACCCCAGCAATGGCACCACCACTCATGCTCAAACAAATCTTGTCATGTCCAATACACATCCAAACACCTAAAGTCATCAATGCTTAGTTGACATTCTTCTTTCAACTCATTTTCTTGATTACCATGCTAATGGTAACTGAGATGCTGCATAGTGAGAAAACTAAAGAATTGCTTTACCTCTTAGACAAATCAGAATCCTTGGTGGATTCACCCACGGCTCCTTCCAGCTCTTTTATTCGTAATTTCAGCTCTTTTACCAAATGAGACTTATTTGGTGACGCAAAACTCAAGTATGCTCTGGCCCTAATCACCTGATCTTTCATCTCTTTCACCGTCTCATCAGCTGCTCTCCGTGGCTGGGACTCAACATTCTGATGAAGTTGAACAACAATATTTTACATAAAATGTAATTAGACTGAAACAAGGAATGCAAAAAGAAAGGAAACATTAGCACTAAACTTCAAGTTTTCGAGAAGAAATTCCGTTACTCCACTATATATCACAACCATGTATGTAGAGTTCAAAGTTCCAAAAATTATACCGTCCAAGTTTTCCATAAGAACTCACTAATTCAAAAAAACTTTCCCCTATATCTTACAAAACTCAATCTAGCAGCAAAACTCATCAACCCACAATGAAACTCAAAACTATCTCATACTATCTTACCTGCTTCTTGTTAAGTTTGGAGAAATAAACTCAATATTAGAGAAAGGCGGAGAGTGGTTACAACTTAACCTACTCTCACAAAACCACTTGTATTTATAGTTAACTCATATATAAGAATTACACATGCATCCTCTTGTATTTACACATAATACCCTAACACTATTAACAATCTACACACAATACCCCAATACTCTTAACACTCCCCCTCAAACTGGACTATATATATCATATAATCCAAACTTGGAACAAATTATTTAAAGACGTGTACGACTCAATCCTTTAGTAAACATGTCTGCAAGTTGATCTTCAAATTTTACAAATGGAGTCATAATCTCTCCAGCTACTATCTTGTCTCGGATAAAATGACAATCAACCTCAATATGTTTAGTTCTCTTGTGAAACACTGGATTGGCAACAATATGGATAGTTGTCTGGTTGTCACAGAACAACTATAAAGGAAGTTGAACTGGAAACCCAATTTCCTGGAGGAAGTGTAGTAGCCAAGTCAACTCACTCGTCGTATGCGTCATTGCCCTATACTCAGTCTCAGCACTAGATCTTGCTACCACTGGTTGTTTCTTACTTTTCCATGAGACAACATTACCTCCTAAGAAAGTACAATAACTAGTGGTTGATCTCCGATTAGAAGGAGATCCAGCCCAATCAACATTTGAGAAACCTTCTACCCTAAGATGTCCATTAGCTCGATATAACAATCCAAAGCCAGGAGCACGTTTTAGATATCACAGAATACGAGTAACTGCCTCTCAATGTAGTACTCTAGGACACCCCATAAACTGACTTACTATACTTACTGCATAAGAAATATCTGGTCGAGTAATAGTGAGGTAATTGAGCTTCCCAACCAATCTGCGATACTGACCCGGATTCTCAAATAGTGCACCATCATCCATTAACAATTTCTGATTCGGATCCATAGGAACATCAACCGGCCTGCCACCCAGCAAACCTACTTTCTCTAGCATGTCAAGTACATATTTCCTCTGAGATAAACAAATACCTTGTTTAGATCGAGCCACCTCAATACCCAAGAAATACCTAAGTTTTTCCAAGTCCTTCGTATGAAATCGATCTTGCAGGAAGGTTTTTAACTTGGCAATCTCCTTAGAATCATTTCCAGTAATCACAATATCATCTACATAGACCACCAATAATAGAACATATCCGGCATCCGTCTGTCTATGAAACACAGAGTAATCTGTCTAACATCGAAGAAGACCAAATTCTAAAACTGCATTTGAAAACTTACCAAACCATGCCCTTGGTGACTACTTCAAACCATACAAAGATTTCTTTAACCGACATACACTCCCGTACTCCCCCTGAGCAGTAAACCCAGGTGGCTACTCCATATATACCTCTTCAACCAAGTCACCATGGAGAAAAGCATTCTTGACATCTAACTGAAACAAAGGCCAATCAAGATTAGCAGCCAAAAAAATCAAGATTCGAACCGAGGAAATTTTGGTAACAGGAGAAAAAGTCTCCTCATAATCAACACCATAAGTTTGAGTAAAACCCTTTGTAATAAGCCGAGCTTTAAGACGCTCCACAGAACCATCCGGATTAAATTTAACAGTATACACCCAACGACAACCAATAGTTCGTTTACCAGGAGGTAAAGGAACAAGATTCCAAGTCTCATTATGATGTAAGGCATCCATCTCCTCCTCCAAAGCTTTCCTCCAACCCGGATTAGATAACGCATCCTATAAGTGCTTAGGAATAGAGATAGTAGATAATTGAGAGATAAAACAAGAGAAGACAGGAGATAAGGTATCATATGAAATAAAATGAGCAATGGGATGATTAGTAACACATGAACGAGTACCTTTGCGAAGAGCAATAGGTAAAGAATCTAAATTACCTGATGTACCAGGATCAGTAGACGGCAAGGAAGACGGTACAAGCACCTCAGGTGATGGGCGAGGACGACAAGAGTATACACGAAGAGGTAAAGTGGATGGTGACACAGTGGGCAGTGAAATATCTGACGGTGAGGGAAAAGATGGTGATACAAGAGACGTCCCAAAGTCTAGATCCAAAGGCTAAGCAGGTGTCAAAAAATACAGAATAGACTCCTCAAATGTGGCATCAGCACTAGTAAAGTACCGTCTTGGAAAAGGACTATAGCAACGATACCCCTTTTGTGTGCGAGAGTATCTAAGAAATACACATTTGGTAGCCCGAGAGTCAAGTTTATCAAACCCAGGGCCCAAGTTGTGAACATAACAGACACACCCAAAAATCTTAGGAGTTAAGGAGAATAAGGGCTTACCAGGGAAAAGAATATGGACTTTGTCTATTTAACACAGACGATGGCATACGATTAATAAGATAACAAGCAGTGAGAACAGCATCACTCTAAAAATATTGGAGAATATTCATCTGGAATAACAGTGCACGGGTCACTTCCAACAAATGACAATTCTTGCGTTCAGCAACACCATTCTGTGGAGAGGTGTACGCACAAGAAGTCTGATAGATAATGTCAGTTTTACTAAGATAAGCAAAAAAAGAATCAGATTCATATTTCGAGCATTATCAGAACGTAAAATACGTTTACGACAACCATATTGAGTTTTTATTTCCTTGCGAAAGGTCTCAAAAATAGAGAATAATTCAAAACGAGCTTTCATCAGAAACAACCATGTCACACGAGAATAATCATCCACAAATAACACAAAATAAGGATATTTATTACATAAAATATTCTTTATTGGACCCCATACATCAGAATGAACCAACTCAAATAGACGAGACACACGATTATTGACTCCAGACTGAAATGACACACGGTGATGCTTACTAAATTGATAAGTTTCACAAGACAAAGACGACACATAACTAAGACTGGAAGATTGGCGCTTCAGATTCTGGATAGAAGGATGTTCAAGGCGACAATGTCATTGAAAAGGAGACAACGAAGTCTGTAGAGCCCAAGTAGGTGAATCAAAATCAAAGTAGGCCATCGGCTTCATGTCCCGTACCAATCTTCTTCTTCGTCCTGAGATCCTGAAAGACACAATAAGAGGGATAAAAGGTTATAGAACAATTGAGATAATGAGTAATCTTACTAATGAAAAGTAAACTAAAGGGAAACTGAGGAACAAATAACACGGATAATAGAGACATATCAGGACTCAAGTGAGTAGTCCCTAGACCTGAACTTTAGAACAAGTACCATTAGCAAGAGTAACACTACGTGTGGAAGTCGCAGACTGATAAGTAGAAAAAATATTAGACGCACCAGTCATGTGGTCAGAAGCGCCGGAGTCTATGATCCAGGGACTACGGGTGGAGGACAATAAACAAGTGAAAGCAGTACCTGACTGGGCAAAAATAGCAGTGGAGGGAGATGGAACAGTCTGTTGCTGGGACAGGAACTGGGCATACTCCTCTCGACCCAGTATAATAGTAACTGATCCAGTGTCTGGTGGAGTTGACCGAGGTACGGAAACAACAACCGAGGTGTCATCCTGATAAGAAGCCTGATTCGCAGCACCAAAAGGTTTTCTATGTAAATCCCAACAAAAGTCAACAGTATGCCCTCCACGACCATAGTGAGTACAAGAACGAGGTCCACTAAGACCCCCACGACCACCCGTATGACCTCCTGTATGACCTCCACGATTACCACGGCCACCTCGGTGACCATCACTGTGGCTACTAGGAACCACAAGAGCTAAGCGATCAATGGAGACACCATGATCAATGCCTGAAGGAGTAGATAAAGTAGCACGTTGTAAACGAGAGAAAACATCAAGTGGAGAGGGAAGACTAGAACCACCCAAAATCTGAGAACGAATAGCCTTATATTCAGGTTTCAATCCTACCAAAAGTCTTACAACATCCAAATTCTCATGTTGCTTTTGCCAAACTGCTACATCAGTTGTGAACAGATGGTAGAGCTTCAACTCCTCACAGACTCCCCGAACGTGGGAGTAATAATCCTCAAGACTCAGAGTACCCTGATCCAGCTGGAAGTACTGCTTGCACATCTCATAAGCGCGGGTAAAATTAGCTGTGCCAGAATACATAGTAGCCAAGTGATCCCATATCTCTTTGGCAGTGTCAGGGTAGAACTAATACTCGGCTCAATGCTATTCAACAGTAAAGAGATAATTTGAGCATTCTCTTGTTCCCACTGATCATATCCAGAAGTATCTTCCTTAGGTTTAGGATTAACCAAATATTTCTTAAAGCCTTTGCCTCGAAGAAAAACTTGAACGGAAGGGGACCATAAAGTATAATTGGTCCCATTAAGTTTAACGGAAGTCATGGGACCATTAATAAGAACTGGAGAAGTAGGTGGAGCAATAGCATCTTGCTTAGGTTCCATAATAATATAGAAGATACCAAAAAAAAGAAGTAACCTTACTGCTGGATAATTGAACGGAGCAAGAGAAGACCACTGGATAATTGAACGGAGCAAGAGAAGACCACTGGATAACTGAACCGAACAAAAAGGCCTCACTGGACTGCTGAATCGGACTGAAAACCTTGCTAGAACGCTGAACCGGCCAGGAAAGATACTGGAACTGGTCTGAACCGGTGCCAAAGTAAATCGAGACTAAACCGGCCTGGAATGGACTGAACTGGCCTTGAACCGGTCTGGTCTGGGTCTTGGGCTGGA